ACGTAATGGCAAGTTGGCCTTGACTTAATTTTCACACTGATTGGATTTACTGGGCCCCTCTACTCTGTGTGTGGATGGCATTGATTACTACAGTATAGTATACCTATTAATATGTCGCATGCATGCAATATGAGTAATATATAATATTACTATATATATATATACTATATTGGATATATATGATTATATGCATGTATGATCGAACATTTCAATACATTTTTAATTATAAAACGCCTCGCCCAAATTTTATCAAGTTATTGCGTAACTTCACATATTATATATTCTGAACACCATTCCTTCCATCACTCAACCCGATTCCAGATTCAGCATGGACATTAACCTCTGTGCTTACTAACTCGGGTATGTAATCTTTTTAATAGTTCGAGTGCAACGGTCTACGCTTCGTACACGGAAGCATTAACGCAAGTAGGCGTTTCACGTCTGTTCACAATTTCTACGAATATTTACACATTTCGCATTATGGCCATATACACATATAGTGGTACACGTCATGCACGCACGGCATCGCACGACATGTGATTTGCGCGTCAAACATGTAATTAAATAATATTCACTTTACAGGTTTCAAACGAACTGGAGTACTAGTAATTTATGCCAGAACTAATGGTCTGATATAAATTGTAAATGTTGTGCGCTACGCGGCAGGAATAGCTTAACCATCGGAAACGCAGCAAGCAGTCGTAGCGGACGTCACAAACATATTTATTCAAGTGATTATAAATATCGCTCGGGCCGTATCTGGAAGCATCTAGGTTGCACGATATCACTGCTTCGCGTTTATTTAAGTTTGCGTGTTATACAAGAAGATGATACAGTATAAATCTGTGATTTTCACATCTGTGTTAGTATGTAGGGCCTTATACCAAAGAACAAAGCGATTATGTACAATTCTGTGTTTCCCATCGGGTATATGCGATGGTGGACCTTATACAAGAAAGGATTCATGTACAATTCTGTCTCTTCCCCCATCGCGGCTACGCCCTATGATGGATGTGGCCTTATACAAGAAACAGGATTAATGTACAAGTCTGTGTTTCCCTGTCGGGTATATGGATGTGGACCTTATACAAGAAACAAGAATTATGCTTCAAGTCTGTGGTTTCCCAATTCAGGGTATGATGGATGTGGACCTTGGTATGAGCGAAGAGGAAAGATTTGTTGTATCAAGTCTGTGTTACGCATCGTGTACGTGGATGTAGGCTTATACAAAAAAAGGATTCATGGACAAGCCGCCTTTTGCACTGTGTAGTGCAGGATGTACACGAAGAGCGTTTCAGATTGACTGTTAATTGATATTGAGATTAGCTTCGATGCCAGGTCGAGTCATTGAGCAAAGAAAATTCTGATGTCAGCAAACACGAGAAAGAGAGCCAATACTATAAGATATTAGCTGGATTTATCGTCGCTGAGGAATGCACTTACGTCTTTATAGCTTCTTCTGGAGAAGCCGCACTTTCTTATCCTAAACTCTCTGTCTGTCATCGTCTGTCCTGTCTGTCTCTCTCTCTCTCTCTCATCTCTTCCCCCCCCTTTTCTTCCTCCCCGCCTCCTCCTTCCCCTATCTCTCTCTTTCTCTCTTTCTCTCTCTCTCTCTCTCTCTCGTCTCTCGTCTCTCTCTCGCTCTCTCTCGTTCTCTCTCTCTGTCTCTCTGCCTCGATTCCTATCTTGGCTCTGTCTCTCTCTCTCTCTCTCTCTCTCTCTCTCTCTCTCGCTCGCGCGCGCTCACTCACTCTCGCCCTCTCTCGCTTCTTCTACTACCGTTTCGCGCTTTCTCTGCCGCTCATGCTCCTTCCTCCTCTCTTTTTCCTCTTCCTTTCTCTCTCTCCCTCTCTCTCTTTCATTGTCTCCCGTTCTCTCTCTCTATCTATCTATCCATCATCTATAACTTTATCAACAGCGCCACTGCCGCCATCATCATCATCTTCTTCATCATCATCATCATCATCATCACCATCTTCTTCTTTATCATCATCATCCTCCTCATCATCATCATCATCATCGTCGTCGTCGTTGTCGTCGTCATCGTCGTCGTCGTTACTGTAATAGTGTTAGGTATCCGCGACCACAGACTATCTAGTCGTGGTGTGGACATTTAAGTGTAAGCGTGAGTGTATCCATCCGATGTGAACACGTACGTACGTATGTATACCTCTCTATGAATCCGTGTGTGCGCACCGTAAATAAATAATGAAAACACGTCTGCGTGAGTGTGTGATCGCAGCCAGATTAAACACTGGCACGTCATCACATTTCGCATTAACGCTCGAATTTCGCTTCCTATTCAAGCGACCGCAGCTAGACATGACGGGTTTTGTCATCTGCCCTTTATAGAAAAGTTCGTTCGCGTGGTTTCTTTTTAACTCGGAGAACAGTGGATACTGTTTCCGAGTCCGTCGAGAGGCCGGCCGGCTGCGGTATAATAGCAATCGTAGGGTTCTTGCGCGCAATTTTAGAATCGTTTGCTTTAAGCGAAGACGGAATGATTGCGCAATAAATGGGTGATGTTAGAAGCGTCTATCGAGACTCGGCATTAGCTCCCACAACTAAACAGTTGTTACTATAGTCTAGGCAATATCCCCCGTAATTGAAAATATTAATTGGTTATGTTTTTGTCTTGAGACAGGGCGATGTAGCGGGTTCGTGGATTATAGCTGGTGACTTGAGCGCCTTCAAGGTGCATCGACTTGTTGATAATCTATCAGCTGAATTTTCTGATAATCGATCCACTAAGATAGAGACATCGTCCTCTTGAATGACTACAACACATTTCTCCGCCTATTAATATAGATACAGTATGGTAGCAATGAAACGCCGTATTGCGAGGTACACTCTATACAGCCGTTAGCATTTATTTCAATTGTCAATTAAACACATCGGCTGTGAAATAAAGCAATAACGCATTTACGCATGAGGTTTTTACACCTATTAAGCTCGAAATATACATCTAAAATCCGATATGAAATTATAGGAAAATAGGGTGGAGAATAAAATATTTAAATAACCTCGTAAATTAGTCATGTATAAAACGATCGACATTAAAAGCTGATGCCGCTGCCGCGCGTTGATGACTCGAATGGGAATTTTCTGAAAACCTGCGATTCCGATTTGATTAGCGCATACGGTTTCATTATTACGGCTAGTTCCGCGTGTAATTTCCACGTTAAAAGAACAAAATTCATTC